TCAGGCTTTGTACAAACTGAACCGTTGAATGGGAATGCCAAACGGCAGTATCAAATCCAAAATCGCGAAAACAGAATGTGATCCGGCGGCTCCCAGGCGGAGATGAACAAGAGATAGAATCTAATTGTTCACATTTGAAAAATACCATGGATTTAGTTCAGCTGAACATTGTTTCAATCAATCCTGATGTTAATTTAATCAGCTTTGATGTATGTTCTTTACTATTTTTACTAAAGTTCCTGTTGATGACATTCTTTATCTTGCGTCTGAATAAATAAACCATGAATTATATATCTCTGTCTTCTGACATCATTATCAATCTTGTAAAACTATATATAAAAGAATGTTAATTTATTTTTATGGAAATGGAAAAACCACTACTGTATCTTTATTGTTTTCAAATTTGTACTTATAATATAATTTTTTGAAACGAAATTTGTAAAATTACCTCCCCTGGAATTGTTCCATGGTTAAGATATGTTGATGGTATTACAGTATGTTAATTCAAATGAATGTTTATCAAAACTTAATAATCAAGTCAGTTCTATAAAATTCACTATACCCACTGAAATTTATATTTCTGCCATTCTTGATATCCTAATTTATAGGAAGATTTCTCCTAAGTATAGTGTTTACAGAAACCCTATAAACAATTTGTCATATTTCTAATTTTTCTCTGAACACAGAAATAGTGCTAAACAATCTATTTTTTTATGTATCTCAGAGCTCTTTGAATTGTTAGTCCAGAGTTCTTGGATGAAGAGTTTGAAAATACTGATTCTATTGGATTCAAGCTTAACTACCCAGTAAGCTTTTTAGAAGCTTGCTAAAGCAAAGCATATCATACGCATAACTAAATCAACACTGAGAAAATTACCCTTAAAAAATGTGTTAATGCTTACCATATTTTTCTTGGTTTGAAAATATTGTCAGCTCATTGAACCTATTATGAGAATATAAGTGGAAAATTATTAGCTAGAATCAGCCCTCATAATGGTAACTTCTCATTTACAAGATAGCCCTTAAAGATTATGATACGTACTACATGTCAAGCATCCAAACAAAATTTTAATTTTAAATTTCTCAACATAAATATTCTGTAAAAAGTGGATAAATGATCCATTTATTCATTTGTCAAAAAATTCTCACCAAATTGATTTTAAGAGGTTTTCTTCAATTACATATTGTAAAAGCATTTCAAATACTGTAGAAATATTATTGAATCTGTTTTAATACAATCTACAAAGCCATATAACACGAATATTAGTAATGGTTTATACACATTGGTTAAATTTTTAATGTACAGTATCAATTAAAATATTATCTTGGTAATATAAATTATTTCTTCTCAAGATACATTTATTTTAGCATGTGATGTATCCCTTCACTGTATTACATTGTTTATACTTTTTGAGGCTGTGTTGCTTTACATGAAATCACTCGAATAATATTTTGTTTTACTTTTCCATTCATGTGTTATTGTGTAAATTTTCTCGTTATTCATTGTGTTAATTTCTTTGTGACAGAACTTGTACAGTACAGCTTTGGAATTACTATAGTTTGTTTAGGAAGTTGCAGATGATTTATAATAAAAGGTAATTAAAAAACAAGGTCAATTGATATTACAATGTTTTGTATATTTGTAAGGCTGTGTATAAAAAAATCAAGTTACAAACTAATAATAGACCATATGTGAGTGTTGTCAACATAAACTAATAATTAATTTGATATAAACCAGATCATCAGGGAAAATAATTTCCTGCAGAGCATATTTGTTCTTAAAATTAATAGTGATTTTTAAATATTCAGTTGAGGTCAGAGTTTGTCAGTGGAAGTGGCAGAAATGTTATTTTGAAAATGATTATGAAACCATATGTACTAAATTGTTTATCAGAACAAGTTTCCACGATATTTCATAGAAAATTTTAAATTAAAAAAAGTTTTGGGCATGGGAAAGTTGATAGGTTTGGTTCATATACACCATTTTGGGGTCATGGTCCTACCTTTAAAAAATATGATGCAAGGGGGCTGGATCCTGAGAGATACTGGCAATGAGGGTTAAATCTCTTTACAGTAAGGTTCTCCTGGTAGTTGTCCATCACCTAAGTTGACAATAACATTTCCCTGTGAAATTCGCAAATGGTGTGGAACGAAAATGTTGTCACTTTTATTTCATGTGGAGGGCAGGTTATTTGTTTCAGTAATGTTATTGCAACTTACTCTCAACAATGGTAACTCCTCTAATGTGCATCGAATTGCATATTTAAAAATTTGGTAGATGGACAAAACATTTGGCAAAATAGCTGGTGCCTTAATTAAGAAAAATCATTTATCATACACTGTATTTGAAACAAAATTATATGATTCATTTTCATTTTGAGTTTTACATGAAAAATATGGATAATTTTTTGATAAATAGCCAATATATTAGAATTAAAAAAAAGTTGATTTCAAGGAAATGAACATCGGGTGTGTAGCAATAAAAATCAGATTTTGGAGG